TTTCTCTCTCTCCCCCTCCCTCTTTCTCTCCCTTCCTCCTTTTCTCTCTCTCCCTTCCTCCTTCTCTTTCCCTCTCTCCCCTCTTCCTTCCTCTTTCTCTCCCTTTCTCCTTCTCTCTCTCTCCTCCTCCTTCCTTCTCTCTCCCCTTCTTCCTTCTCTCCCTCCCCCTTCCTCCTTCCCTTTCTCTCTTTCTCTCTCTCTCACACACACCTACACATCCTACAGATCATCCACTTATTCTCATCTGATCGTAGCCATTTATTCAGTCTGAACCACTGTGGATGACAGCGGATGTGAAGCCTAATGAGGTATTCCAGAGGAAAACGTCTCCGCTGCCAGCATCTGAATTGAGATTAATCTCCCAGGAGGAGCCTTGACTGACTAGAAGCATCAGAGGTTCATACAAATCACCAAAGGCTGGATTCCCCGCTTAACGGGCCTAACAGAAGAACCAGTTTCTCCCCAAAACCAGCAAGAAAATATAGAAGATCAGAACACTTTTCATCTTCTACTACAGGTAGTCCTTGACTTACAACAGTTCGTTCAGTGACCATTTGAAGTTAGAACAGTACTGAAAAAAGTGACTTATGGCTGTTTTTCACATTCATGACCCTTGCAGCATCCTCCGTGATCAAAATTCAGGAACCTGGCAAATGACTCGTATTTACAACGGTCCCAGGGGTCACGTGATCCCCTTCTGCGACCTTCTGACAAGCGAAGTCAACTTGAGGAAGCCAAATTTCCTTCACAACTGTGTGGCTAACTAACAGTAGTTCTTACTGACTTAACAAAGGGATTGCCTTCACAACTGTGACAAGGAAAGATCATAAAATAGGGCAAAACTCCACCTAACAAATGCCTCATTTAGCAACAGCAATTTTGGATTCAATGGTGGTTGTAAACCGAGGATTATTTGTACTACCCTGGATGGTATGTTAAAATAAAAGACGGAAAGACTTTCAGGCTAGCTTTGTCCAATCTTGGATTAGCAGGTCATTTTGGAAAGAGGGACTGTGGCTTAAAATTACACAAAGTTTGTTCTAACAAGCCAGATTCCTAAAAAAAAAAAATTCCTTGAAGATTCCTAAACCTCGGCCAATTTTCCCCAAAACTGGAATGCCTTCCTAACCCGATGCAATAGGAAAAGGTTTGGTCTTCAACAGGATTATAAAAAAAAAATATGGATTGTGCAGAAATGAATAAAGTTACAATGGAATTGCAGAAGGAAGAAAAAGAATACTATATGGTCTGGGAAAAATTGTATGTTTGGTTAGATAACAGGAATAAAAGACAATGCAAAATGTAAATATAAATGATGTATATATGTGTGTGTGTGTGTATGTGTGTGTGTGTATGTGTATATATATATATATATATGTGTGTGTGTGTGCGTGTGTGTGTATGTATGCCACAACTTACTGCAAAAATTGTAAATATTATTTGTTTTTAAAAGGGTAAAATTTAATAAAATATATTTATTTTAAAAGAGGAAAAGGTTTGGTCTCTGTCTACCAAATCCATCCTTTCTCTCTGTTCGTCTTGTTTTAAAGAGCCATGAATGTTCAAAAAACGGGTTTAGAATATTCCATCGTTGTCATGAAACTCCTCCTCAATCAGGATCTGGGGGAAACAGGAAGGACCTTTTCCAAATTGTGGACCTATTTTCTGATCCACCTGTACAAAAAAAAATAGAAACCGACCTCCGTTTCTGATTGCAGAAATCCCCCGGCAGAAGTCTTCAAAGCTGATCACACCAAGCCCAATAGGGTCCAAGAACTTGATCAAATCCTTCACCTGCAAACAGAGACACACAAATCAGACTTCCTGTGCCACAGATAAAAATTTAATTCAAGCTTCAGCCTCGCACGACGAACCTCAATTTTTTCCCAAACAGCCTCAAGGATGGGCATAAAACCTGCTTCACGGCCATAAATATAAATGAATGCAAATGGCTGTAAATTGCACTCATTAGATAATCAGGTGCATGATACACACAGTGACTTAAATTACAACCATGTCATTTAAAGGACATTCAGATCCAAAAGATAATACTCTCCTCCCCTTTCTCTCCAATCAGTCCATAAAATCAATGTTCAAAATTCAAAAGGGGCTCTCTCTCTTTTTAGCTATTTTAATTTAAGTATATAAATTGGACATAAATAATGAATGTGCATATTTAAACCAGGCATTATCATTCCTTACATTTACAGTTATATACTCCCAAGAGGACTTATTTTCCCTTAATTGTAGCACTGGTGCAGTTTGCAAATGTTCGTTTGTTGGATAGAATAGAATGGAATTCTTTATTGGCCAAGGGTGACTGGACACACAAGGAATTTGTCTTTGGTGCATTAGCTCTCAGTGTACATAAAAGAAAAGATACATTTGTCAAGAGTCGAGAATCATAAACTACAACACTTAATGATAGTCATAGGGTACAATAGAATAGGAATAGGAAAGAATAGAATAGAATAGAATAGAATAGAATAGAATAGAATAGAATAGAATAGAATAGAATAGAATAGAATTTTTATTGGCCAAGTGTGATTGAACACACAAGGAATTTGGTGCTCTCAGTGTACATAAAAGACATTCGTCAAGAGTCAAGAATCATCAGGTACAACACTTAATAATAGTCATAGGGTACAATAAGCAATCAAATCATACTAGGAAGCAGTCAATATAAATCGTAAGGATACAAGCGACAATGTTACAGTCATACAGTCACAAGTGGGAAGAGATGGGTGAAAGGAAGGATAAGAAGATTAACAGTAATAGTAGTGCAGACTTTGTAAATAGTTGGGCAGTGTTGAGGGAATTATTTGTTTAGCAGAGGGATGGCGTTCAGGGAAAAAACCTGTCCTTGTGTCTAGTTGTTGTGGTGTGCAGGGCTCTATCTATAGCATCGTTTTGAGGGAAGGAGTTGAAACAGTTTATGTCTGGGATGTGAGGGGTCTATAAATATTTTCCCAGCCCTCTTTATGACTCCTGCAGTGTATAGGTCCTCGATGGGAGGCAGGTTGATAGTAATTCTTTTTTCTGCTGTCCTGATTACCCTCTGAAGTCTGTGTCTGTCTTGTTGGGTGGCAGAGCCAAACCAGACAGTTATAGAGGTGGAGAATTGTTCTCTATTATTATTACTGCCAATGTTTTGTTGAGGTTTGCATAAGCAAAAAGAGAAATTTTAAAGATGACAAGATAATCCTTGACTTACAACCATTCATTTAGTGACGGCACCGAATAAAATGACTTATGACCGTTTTTCACACTTACGACCGTCGTAGCATCCCCAGGATCATGTGATTTATATTTGGACGCACAATTGACTCACATTTATGATGGTTCCAGTGTCCCAGGGCCACGTGATCCCCTTTTGTGACCTTCGGACACTTGTCAGTGGTTCACTTAATGACTGTGGCCACAAAGGTCGTAAAATGGGTCAAAACTCACTTAACTATCTCACTTAGCAACAGAAATTTTGGACTCAGTTGTGGTCGTAAGTCGAGGACTATCTGTACCCAGCCATCAGAGCAGTGTCCTCATGCTGGGCTAAACCAATGGGCCGGAGACCACTGGTGGTCCGCAAGAAAATTTTAGTGGTCCGCAGAGAAATGTCACCCCCAAAGCAATTAATCCAGGCTGCGTGGGAACACAAGGCTTGCGTCACTTGCATTGAGAACAACAAGAGGTAGTGAGGGGAAGGGGAAAGGGCAGAGGGGAAGAGCTTGCCCCACTCCGCCTCGCCTGGCCACCGGGCTGCTTCTTTCCGCTTCTTCCTTCTTCTGCTTTTGGCTGCATGCAAGGAAAGCACCAGAAGTCTTTCTTTCTCTCCCCCAAACTCCGCCAGAAATGAGTCTTTGGGACCCTGCAAGGCATCCTGCTCCAAGAGGCTGCACCAGCAAAGATTCATTTCTGGCGGAGTTTGGGGGAGAGAAAGAAAGACTTCTGCTGCTTTCCTTGCATGAAGCCAAAAGTCTCTCTTTCTCTCTCTCCCTCTCTCCCCCTGAGAACAGAGCTGCGATCCCAAATAAAGAATGACCGATCAGTAGGAAAACGGGGTGGGGAATTTTCCTGCAGACTTTTTTGGGGATTTTCCCAGGGTCTCTGGTCCGTGGGATTTAAAATTATGAGTTTGGTGGTCCTTGAGGTCCAAAAGGTTAGCGACCCCTGGGCTAAACCATCCTTCAGTTCTGTGAATCTAGGCTATGGGGCTTTTAAACTCTGATTCGTGGCTTAGCTCCCTACGCAAACCCAAATCAAGTCTGACTTCATCTAAAAACCGGATGATTAAGAGGCAGGCAGATTAATCACCAGCAGAGTGTGATTATAAAAATGCCATGCACAGGATCTCACTTCAGCCATGAATCAACCAGGGTGGATCATGCCTTCCTTAGTAATTGGGGGGATCATCTTGGTCAATTATTATACGGATTACCGTAGCTAACAGCTGCAAAGCTTTGAAACATTACATAAACAGTGAGAAATTACCAGACGACGAAACCCCCAAAATTCCCTCCCCTTACCCACCGCTTTTTAAGCTTGCAAGCATTTTCATTATAATGTCCTTTAAAAAAATATATTTTGATTGCCCAATTATAGGGACTTTATAATAAAAACCAAAGACCCTTGAGTCTGCAGCTGTAGATAATAACACTTTCATAATGCTGCAGCAATTAGCGGGAAATATGGAGAGAAGAGAGGGGGGGAAATCACAGGTTAGCAAAGATTAGGGGACTGGGAGAGAAAGACGAGGCGCAGAAACAGATATAATTTTCCCTTTTTTTAAAAAAAAACCAATTTCTGCATAATGGGGCAAAATAGAACCGAGAGCTTCCTGCACAGGCCAAACAAATAAACGGGAAAGATGCAATGTTTTAACTCAGGCTACCCCCCCAAGGGGAAGATTGGGGGCTCTTCCCTTTATTGTGTACTGAACAATGCAACAAATGTGACCCAACACACTTATTACACTGTATTATTGTAATATATGTCAATCAATCGATCAAATAAATAAATAAATGTAGACTAGACTAAACGAGATGAGACGAGACTAAAATAGAATAG